GGATACAAAACTCTTGTTCCTTTATTCTTATAAACTAATCTTACATGCTCTTACTCGCTACTCGCAATCGCACGTCCGCACGCTTTGCTGGCCAGCCGCAGAGAGAGAGATTGGGCGTCGAGCCCGGAAAAGAAAAGAAAAATGGGAAGTTCTCGTGCCAATCTCACGGCCGCTGTGTCGCTATAGGTTTCTAGTTCGTACTGCCAACTTAGAGGATGCGCGTTAATTGAACTCCTGTACATACTCCCCGCCGTTGAACCTCGCGTTCGACTACAATTAATTGCGTTGTATAGGCAAGAGTGCTACATTTTTTACCGCACGCTTGTAGATGCCATTAGCTGTTTTCACCTCTATTACTCGGACAATGTCGTCATTACCCGGATACAATTTTACAACTCGCCCTGTAGGCCAATACAAAGGTGGCGCGTTAATTTCCCTTAATATAACTAAATCGCCTACTTGCAACTCGGGAGATCGCTCCCTACTTTTTACAGTGCGCTGTGTCAATTCGGTCAGATACTCTTTATTCCATCTGACCCAGAAGTCGCGTTTTAGTTTCTGAATATGTTGCCAGTGAGCAAGCCTATTGCTGGGAGTATCAGTGAAATCGGCTTCGGGAACAGATAAAAGAGAATCTCCAATTAAAAAATGACCCGGAGACAATACAGCCAGATCACCCGGTTCGGTGGACAAAGGTGTCAAAGGTCTGGAGTTCAAGATGGCCTCTATCTCTATGATTAACGTATTGAACTGCTCAAATGTAAATAAAGTGTGCTTACTTACGCGGTACAAGTGATATTTAAAGGAACGCACTGCTGCTTCCCACAATCCTCCAAAATGATGCGCCCGCGGGGGTATGAATTTCCAGTCTACCCCCTGTTCACTCAACCGATGCACTATCGCAGTTTTATTAGTGTTAATAAATTTGCCTAAATCTCGTAACTCGTTTCTTGCACCAACAAAGTTAGTGGCATTATCAGACATTAAAAGATTTGCCTTGCCCCTGCGGCTGAAAAATCTCCTTAAAACTGCAAGAAACGCCTCGGTGGTTAAATAATTTAAGTAAGATTTTAAGTCACTCACCAACTCTAAATGCACCGCCTTTGTTGACAGGCACACGAAGATGGATACGTAAACCTTTACTTTATTTCTATTTCTTTCCTTTTTCTCTTTGATCAAAAAGGGACCGCAGTAGTCAACACCTGAGTTCGCGAAAGGGCGAATAAACCTTGATCTTTCCTTGGGAAGATCACCCATTTTGTATTCTAACATTCTTGGCTTCGCTTTAAAACATACCACACATTCGTGAATGATCTGCTTTATACGACTCCTCGCGTGTACTGGCCAATACTTTTGTCTAATGTAATACAGCGTTGCTTGAGGCCCAGCATGCAGCAATGAAAGATGAGCATTCCTAATGATTAACTCGGTTACGTGATGTCTTTGTGGCAAAATGATTTGATGCCTTTGCTAATATTTCAGGTCTGCATGCGCTAGCCTTCCTCCTACTCGCAGAACTCCACTAGCATCCACAAATGGATGTAAAGAAGCTATCTTACTACTATTTTTGAGCAATCTACCCGCGTTTAGCTCTTTAATCTCGCTCGCAAAAGACTCGAGTTGGACGAGTTTGATTATCTTCGTCATTGCTTGCTTCAACTCTAAATTCGTTAGATTACCTCTTGCCTTGCCCTTCCCAAGACAATTGTTCGTAAATCTGCAACACCATGCCATCACCCTGTGAAGTACAGAAACCCTTGAAAATTGTCGCAGTATGTCGAACCTCCTCTCCGCCTTCAGAACAGTTGTCTTTCTTTCCTCCGGAGTCTCCAGTAAGTTTGAGTCGAGCTTGGGCCATTTGGTCTCGTGTTCTGTGAGCCATTCCGGACCGGTCTTCCATAACGGATTGCTGATTAGACTCGCAGGCAGAGCTCCTCTCGAAACCAGGTCTGCCGGATTGTCGCACGATGCTACGTGTCTCCATTCTTCTCTGTTGTTGATATCTTGAATTGCGGCGACACGGTTCGCAACAAACGTTTTTAAGCGATGTGGCTGCGTCTGAATCCAATGTAAAGCTACAGTTGAATCTGACCACAAGATGACTCTGTCAAACGATATGCCGAACGCTTTCAACACGGTTTGACAAAGTTGTGCCAACAAGGCGGCACATAGCTCTAACCTTGGCAATGTTAGTTTCTTCAGTGGTGCTATCCTTGATCTAGAGCAGACCAGTGCTATGTGATACGTCTGGTTGAACCTTGTTGATCTAATGTACAAACAAGCTCCGTATGCGGCCTCACTTGCATCTGCAAACCCGTGTAACTGTAGACTTGCAACTTGTGTTGCACAGACTTGTCGTGGAAATGTGATGTTGTTTAATTCTTCTAAGCTGTTTAGATATGCCTTCCATTGATCGCAGATTTCTGCTGGAACTTGCTCGTCCCAATCCACTTTTAGCTTCCATAGGGTTTGGAGCAGTATTTTAGCCTTGACTATAATCGGGCCTAGCAGCCCTAGAGGATCGTACAAAGATGCGACTTGTGCCAATATGGTTCGCTTGGTTACTTCGCATCCCTGTGGCCGTATGTTGACTCGATATAGTAGGCAATCCTGCTGTTGGTTCCAAAGAACTCCTAGCGTCTTATGTGTATCGGCAAAGTCTAAACTTACGTGTTCTTCCTCCCCGTTGTAAGTTCCTTCGCCGAACCGCGGATGATTTGAGGCCCACTTCCGAAGGTGGAAGCCTCCTCTCTTCAAAAGGCTTGCAATCTGAGTCCTCAACTCTTGCGCTCACTCCAACGTGCTTGCTCCTGTCAGAAGATCGTCCATGTACATATCTTGCTTTACTATTTCTGCCACTCCTGGATAACGTTGTTGCTCGTCCTCAGCGACCTGTTGTACCGTACGCGTTGCTAGATATGATGACGAGGACATCCCGTAGGTTACGGTATTCAATTGATATGTTTTAACAGCCTCTTGTGGGTTGTCTCTCCATAGTATCCTTTGAAAACGACGATCATCCTCCTGTATATACACCTGTCTGAACATTTTCTCTATATCTGCTGTAAAGACTATGTTGTGCAGGCGAAACCGTGTAACCACAGAGAAGAGGTCTCGCTGCAACACAGGACCTGTAAGTAGAGTATCGTTCAGCGAAAGCCCAGTAGTAGTTCTCGCTGAAGCGTCAAACACCACTCTCACTCGCGTAGTGTTGCTGCTATCCTTCAGTACTGCATGATGAGGAAGAAAATAGCTCTCTTGAATACTTGCGTTCTCTATCCGAGACATATGTCCCAGGGCTTCATATTCTTTAAGGAAACTCCGATATTCTTCGTATAACTTAGCGTCTGCACTCAACCTTCTTTCTAATCCTTGCAGTCTTTTTAGAGCTAGCCCGTACGACTCATCTAATCTATTCTTCTTGTCATTGAAAGGTAACTTCACTGCGTAGTGTCCTGAAGAAAGCCTTATAACATTTTGCTCGTAGTGTTTTCCACACTCCTCTTCTTCCGGTGAGAGTACTCTTCTCGGTGGTAGCTCCTCTGTTTCCCAAAACTTCCTTACTGCCTCCTCCAATGTACTTCTAGAGAGATGGCATAGTTTAGTTGCTACAGCGTTAGGCGAATAAATTTTGCCAACTACCACCCAGCCTAATCGAGTTTGTTGCAGCATTGTACCTACTTTCAATTTGATTTGTCCTACGCATAACAAATGGTAAAAGTATTCTGCTAAGTATATCTACGTGGTTTGGTTGGTCAAATGTCGGATCCGCAAGAATGATATTCTCCGGAATATCTAGTGCCTTTCGATCGATTACGCTGCTCGGTAGCATCTCCGTTATCCTTGGAATTACTAAACAATCGAGGGATAGTACAAGAGAATCGCTTCTAGATTTGATAGTTACTCTTGTTGAATATTTGATATGAGAAATCCTATCTCCGATTCCGCTAATAGGGGTGTCTATCGTCTTTTTATGTAGCTTTAACTTACTACAACAAGTGTCGGCTATAAAATTGGCTTGCGATCCGGCATCTAGAACAACTCTACACGACTGATAATGACCGGCAGCATCCATGACGCTTACTACGGCTGTGGATAAAACTATCTGTGTTGGCCTCTTTAACGTTGAGCTCAAACTTTGAGTGGTGCCTTTCGCTGCAGCTTGCGCTGTTTTAGGGTCTGTCCCTGCCTCAACCGCTTGTATCGCGTCACCTTCCTTGACCGTATGTAACATTTTATTGTGTTTTCTTTCGCATTTTTTGCATCTACTAGCCTTACATTCGTTTATTCTATGATTAGGTCTAAAGCAGTTGAAACAGAGACCTGCCCTCTTTCTGGCCTCTGACCTTTCATTTAAACTCATGGCTTCAAACTTTGGACACTGCTGTATTTTGTGGTTGCCTCCACAAACATGACACTCAACCTTTGCTTGTGTTTCAAGCAAGACTTGCTTCGCTTTGCTGGGAGCTGTCTTGTTTGAACTCAACGTCTTGCTATTTGACGCATTTTCGCGATTCAGTGCATCGTTGGGAATAGCCTCTAATATGTGACATCTATTACGCAGAAATTTAAAGTATTGCTCTAGCGTAGGGACTTCATTTCCCTCTAAAGTCTTTTCCCATTCGACGCGTGTCCTTTTATCTACTTTAGCGCCGATTAAGTGCAGAAGTAACATATCCCAGCCTTCTACCGGTTGCTCGAGATTTCTTAATGCTTGGATATGCCTGAGCGCGCTGTATCAATTAGTGTATTCAAGCTTGACGCTGACTCTTTCATGATCGCCTGTAATTCAAACAGTGCCTTTACGTGACTCTGAATGATGATGCGCTTGTTGCTGTATCTCTCTTTCAATAGATTCCATGCTATTTCATAGTTCTCTGCTGTTGCTGCCAATGACTGTATGCTTTGAGTCGCGTTGCCGACCAAACATGACTTAAGATAGTTGAACTTTTGCACTGCTTGTATTTTTACGTTACTATGAACTAAAGTTTTAAACGAATCCTCAAAGCTCAACCAGTCTTCATATCTACCATCAAACTTCGGTAGTGTTATGGTAGGAAGTTTAACCCCCGTGTCGTTTGCATTCATGCTTGTTAACTGTCTCAATATTGCACAAAGATTCGCATCACCATTCGCATCACTGTTTGTATTACGGCTCGATGCTATACTCTCCTCTCTCTCATTCAACAACTGCTGTGCTCTCGCTATCTGCTGAGTAATTTTCCTCGAATATTAGCTTAGAATCGTCGTCGTTGCTATCCTCTGCAATCTCTATTTCCATGTGTACGTTTTCGAATTCTGTTAACCAATCCCTTGCTTTTTCAAACCGAATTTTTAATGTATTGTAATCTCTTTCGGTCTCATAAGTATCCAGGAAAGCTTTGAATCTGGTTAAGTTTGCTTTGACCACGCCACGAAGAAAAAAAGTTTGTTACTAGATTTGTTAATAAATTTCGCGTTTGTATCAACATAGTTTCCATTAGGCATTGCCGAATTGAATAAAATGTGAAACCTATCTTATCTACATATT